CACGGAGTCATGCACTTTTTCTATACCTTCACGTCCTTCACGATGATAGAGACATTCTTGCGCTATATGCAGTGGTGCTTCCAGACCCAACATAGCTTTAGCGCACTTGCGTTTCAGCTCCGTAAAAGCAGATGACTCAAAGACAAGTTTCTCCAATTCAGTATTCAATTCATTACGCCAGAAAGTCACATCAGTTATACGCTCTCCAATACGTCTACCAGCCTCGCGTTGACCTTGTGCAACTTTCTCATCAGTCTCACGCATCAAACGCACTGCATCATTGCGCAAACTTTCCGATTGATGTCTGAAAATAAAAAAAAAATATTTTCATAAAATTTATAAATTTATTCTAAATTAGGCCATAAAGGAGTTTACCGATTAATATTTGCCTCAGCATATTTGCTGAGGTTATTGTTGATCCACTCGGTGCCAGTGTAACGCGTATACAGAGCAGCTCTAGCCGCATGTTGAGGATTACGATCGAAACCTGTAACTAAATTCGGAAATATTATGGGATTTGTAGACATACCATCAGGTACAAAGCAAGGTTGCATCATTTGATTTGTGACAGGTTGTTCTGGTAAATTTTGAACCTCCATCATTTCGTAGGCGAGTGCCGGTCGCCATGGATGACGTTGGGTGGTCTAACCAAAAAATGGTAGAAAATTAAGTTACAGTCTCAGAATGCGAAGAATATGCAATATATACAATATACCTGATACGAAATACCGACACGCGGCGGCACTGGTGGACCAACCACGGGTTCCATGCATGGTGGGGCGCCAGCTGTGCTCCATGGCTGCAATTGTGAATACATTACAGTTTCCTTTGGTCCTGCCATTGTGATTTTGATTAACGGGCCAAATAAGTGTAAAGCAATAAAAACTCAAAATTTTCGTAAATATTGTGAATGAAATCAATTCTACATTTGTTGTGTTTTAAAATTCAATTCCGAAATCAAAAATTTTAAGGAAATTCAACAAAAAAATATTTCGAAACTTAAATCAGTGTGCCTTAGAAAATAATGACGTTTGGTAATACATATGATTCCACTAAGTTTCTATAATCTTTGCGTTCCACATATTCATCCGCACGCTTTAAGCGCTTATCCAGCAGATTGTCCTTCACCAGCCGCGAATCGAAAGTGCGATTCTCGAGGTAGGATGAACCGTGGCTCTTCATGTGTTAAATGAAGTTTTGTGAAAATGTTTATGTTTGGATGAATTGTGTTGATTTGATTTGTTGCTGCACTCACAATGGGAATGCTTGATCTTTGCAAAAGTTCTTTAATGGATTCTACTCGCGGGAATTTTAACGGATGACGTTGTTGTAAGAAATTTTCCTGAATAGGCCCAGAAAGCATTTAATAAGCGTTTGCTCTGAAAACTCTTTGTGTCGGAATTCATGGAATTATAGCAACTGAGCTGAACACGTAGTTCCCAATTTTGTTTTTCCATTTTTCCATGAGATTGTTTATCGATAAAACCTCGTTGTCCTGGTAACCACTTTCTTCTTTATTAAATGACTTTTTTCTCGCCAAAATGAATTTGGAAAAGCACAAATATTTAGAGGTTGCATTCTGACAGACCTAAGTTCATAACCTTTCGTGTTTAGGTCAGTAAATTACTTATTCGTAATGACATTAACATTTATCGATTTGCAGCTAAGTAAAGTTCGAGTCTAGGAAGTGTCCTAGATTACACTTCCGTTGACCTATAAAATTATATGTAGTAATACGTTATTCTTGATATGTGAGTAAGTGTTCTTACATATGTAGATATAATAAATCTTATTATTGATTTAAAAACAAAGAAAGTAGACACGAGCGTAGTTAGATAGGGATAGTATCTTAATGTTTGATATGTTTGAGAATTGACGTATGAAAGCTAATGAATCCAAATCGTTGTACATTTTACCTATTAACATAAAAACAACTAATTGTGAAATGCCACAATCAGATGAAGCTAGGAATACATCTCAATCGCCGACTAACGTGGCAAAACCATTTCTTCACTGAAGAACTAGGTTTGAAGGTGTCAAATAGAAGATGGATGATTGTTCCTACTGTAGTTATCTTCTGCACTAATGCTGATGACATAAATGGTTTTATTTCCCACCAGATCTGGGATATACTCCCATCTTAAAAGGCAAAACAATTCTTCCAACATCGATAAGATCTCGTCAAAGACACTGCGATGGTTCTCGCCCCAAATTTTTTAAATATTGTTCAATGTTATTTAATTACTCATATAATATTGGCCAAGTATATAAATGGACCATTATCTACCCCACTCATAATAGTGATTATTGCAAATACGACCAACTTTCCTGCCATCCTACATCATTGCTTAACTTAGTAAGAAAATTATATGAAACATTCCTACAAATTAATTTAAAAATAATATTTTTCTCAACCTCCAGTTCAAGTTCAGAAGCAAAAAGTTGACTATATATACTTAGCACCACCTTCATGATTAGATTCGCCAACAAACAGTTCACTATAGTTATTAATCTTGATATGGTAAACGCGTTTTATACTATGTATATCGAGGACTTGATTCATAAACGTCTTCTATATTGATTCCCCACTCAGCTGCTTAGATTCTCGCTTTTAGATCCTTTATATTCAGAATTTATTCAGACCTGTTATGAATTTTTCCCAGTGTGACTATTGTGCCTCAAAGTTAAATTCTAGGCACTAATTATTTTATTATCTACACACAGATATTCCCGTTTCTCTCCTGGATTCAAGCAAATTTGCTTTGCGGTCGATTGGCTGATATGTATGAGATCCAGTTACCCTGAAAGAATCTACTACGAACATAGAAGTCATTTTTACGCGCTCTCCATTTACTATAGTGAAAATTTGCATAAAAATTTTTCAAAATCTACTAAAAATCTACTCTAACTAGCCAGTGTAGAGTTCGAGCAACTACTTCAAGGCCTCATTACTATATCTATATCATTATCTATATCATTATACTATATTAATGACACGCGTACAGAAATTGTGGATAACTTTACATATCTTGGATATCTATTGACTCCCAAAGATAACTTTGTTGCTCAAGTCAAATAAGTTATTTAGAATGTCACATCCAGGCAAATTCACCTCAAAAATGTGCTAGTCACATACGATTATTTAACAGCAAAGTCAAATTAATTTGCTATAAGGAGCTTATCTGCTCTTTGTACTGTCCCATTAGAGAAAAAGCTCCCATCAGATGATTTTAAACAGGGCCTTTGCAAGAGTTATCGTAAGAGTATCAAACACAAGCGCAGATTTGGTGGGAAACACCACCCAAATTCTCTTACAGACAACATTTCTCAACTGATTCGCATTAACGATTATCTATTCCCTTGGTAGGAAACACTTAACCTAATCTCATAATCTGCTTCCTGACATCCTTCAGGTCAACAGCCTACTCATTAACTTGGTTTACACTATAAGGTATAGGATTCCTTAATTTGTAAACTACAACGTTGATGAGTGCAGAACCAACCATATTCTTATCCCTCTCTACAATCGCAATTACTTTCACCCAGAATGTAGAATATACTCTTGCCTAGTGTGACTGTAATCTTGTTTTAACCACACCCCTTAACCAAATGCTGGCTTTAATAAATTTAATCTGTTGAATGTTAATTGATTTTGATTCTGCACATGATTAAAGAATCAAGGACCACCGGTTGGAATCTATTTCACAAATCATTATTTACTGGTGATTGTGGTAGGTCAGGTTTTATACTAACAAACTAGTTAGGTGGAAGTAACCTAAAAGTCTTTTCAAGCTTTTTCAAATTGCAATAAATAGAAATTTTGCAATTAACCAAAAGCTAATTGCGTTCAAACTGGCGTTCAAACTGATTAATTGCAATTAACGAAACGTCAAATTTGTTTCTTTGTTGTAATTCTGCAAATATCACAAATAAACAAAGAAACAAAAATAATTATTACTTAAAATTAAGCGGAAAATAATTTTTATACATATTATTAAAATGGTCCAGTTTTTGATATAATTAAGATCTGTTTAACACTTTCATTGAGTGTGTTCAGTGTTTAATTTTTAAAAAAATTTAAATAACTTCATGTGATTGCAACATTGGCGCATTGTCTAAAACGGATTTTTAGACTGTATGCGAGTTCGAGTAAATTGATGGTAAATGGAGGAAAATAGTAAATTATGTCGATATGGCAGCGAATGTTGGTATTTACCAGAATTTCGAGTAGGGTAAATTAGACAAAAATTAGATAAATTAGGTGTTACCATTGTGAAAATTTTGTAAGATATTTAATAAATAAATAAATATATTTGAAAACTTTTAATCAAAAAGAATAAATAAGTGCAATAAATAAATAAATAAATATTTACATAAGTGCAGTGCAAAAAATCTCTAGGAAATTTGAATTTACTCGAACTCACACACGGCCTTAATATCAAAAAACTAAAAAAGATCGAAATTACTTAGGAAATGTTCTTTTTCTAGCAAGTGATTTATAAACGTGGCGAGATAAAATAATACAACCGGCTAGAGAAAATTTTTGAGCGCCATTTTGTAGTGTTTCGCGTACAATTTTTACCACATTCCACAAAAGTTTGATATTTATTGCATACAACTATTGAGTCATATTGGATTCACACAAAAGTTTTGGTTGTAATTTAATACTGAACTCACATAAGAGTTTTGTTTGTAATTTTAGTTGTCAAAAATTTTCATTTTGCATTGACAGCTATAATTACAAACATGATAGCTAAAATTACATACAAAACTCTCGTACGAGCCTAGTATAACTCAGTTTCCTTACTTTATTTTTGAATTCTTTGAATTTGTCTTTGAATTGAAATGTCATAAATTTGTAATAATAATAGTAAAAACTTTAGTCGAAATATTTGTGGAAATTCTATATAATTTTATATATAATAAAAAATAAAATAAATAAATAAAATAAAAATAATACATTAAAAAAAAAAATCTAGTTCCCTCTTTGTTTATATTTCAATAAACATTTCATACCGCATTTTTCAAAAGTCATGAGAAATTAAAAAATTTGACGAAATTCAACCGACAACCGCGTTCGAAAATTTTTTCGAATATGAACTGCGTTATCAACATAACGTCAGCTGTTGTCGATATATTTTGCATGTTATTTATGCCAAGCAAACATAAAAATTTTTAGAAGATATGTGGTATTTGAGTTTTTAATAAAAAGTAAACGGATTTTTATGCAGAAAAAAATTATTCGGAGTTATTGGTAAAATTGGATAATGAGTGAAGAAAAACAAGAAACGATAGAAAATACTGCGCTTCAAGATGCACAACAACAAGAAAAGTTGGCGCAAGAGGAACTTGACGAGCTAAAGAACTTCATTAGTGAACTGCAAACAAAAATTGCCTCAAAAACAAAATTACGAACTGAGAATTATGATTGCGATCGTCCCGCCGAATCACACTTCGCTAAATTGGACTCGAGTCTTAAGAAAAATACGGCTTTCGTCAAAAAACTACGCCAATTCACAGCTGCGCAGCTCGATCAGTTGCTCAAAGACATGACGAGTCTCAATTTAAGCAAATATATCACAGAAATATGCTCCGCTGTATGCGATGCAAAAATCAAGATGACCGATGTTCCCGCCGCAGTTATTTTGTGTTCAAAACTTAATCAAATCTACTCCGATTTCAGCGCCAGCTTCCTGGAAGCTTGGCAGAAGACGTTAGCGCTTAAGACTGGTGAGAAAATTGCAAATCCAAGTAAACTGCGCGTTGATCTGCGTTTATTTGCTGAGCTTGTCAGTTCCGGAGTAATAAATAGTAAACAGGGACTTTCGCTGCTTGGCGCTGTGCTGGTTAATGTCATATCGTCAGACAAAGAAGATCACAGCAATTTTTCCATAATACTTTCGTTCTGTCGTCATTGTGGTGAGGAGTACGCCGGACTGGTGCCTAGGAAAATGTTATTAATTGCTGAGAAGCACAATATGACTGATATACCGAAATCTGATTTCTTAACATCCGAGAAGCAGCAAAACCTACGCTCATTGCTTAAGGATTACTTCAAGAATTTGTGCAAACATTTATTATCCGAGCAGGAAGAGTTATTGAATATGACCAAGAATATACGACGCACAGTAGAGTCAAAAGGTAAGTTTTGATTGCTATTAGATTATAATACTTATTTTATCTGTTATTTACGTTGGTTGTTTCGTTAGGTGAACTTTCGAATGATAAACGTGAAAAATGTGAGATAATGCAATCGAATTTCGACAAACTGCATACTTCAGTGCAAACACTATCCGACCTCATTAACGAACCACTGCCAGAGTTGGCGAAGGAAACGGAAATGTGCAGCCCCGGCACTGTCATTGACAGTATACTTGAGGATACTTCGATGGGCGAACTTGATCCCTGGGGTGACGAAGAGACGAAACAATTTTACACTGATTTGCCGGATTTACGTCAGTACTTGCCTAATTTTTCAGCGCCTAAAGTAGACAATGAGCAGATTGAAGAACCCACAGAAATGACAGAGGAAGCGATTGATGCCAATATCGATGCTGATATTGATATTGATGATCCACCATCAGCTTCTTCAGATCTCGCTGCTGATAAAGAAGCTGAAGGTGATGAGAAACCTGAAGAAGCGACCACGCAAATTTTACCCGAAAAAATAGGTAATGCACTGATGGAAGTTGGGCGCAGTTGCTCTGGTTATGTTTACAACAGTAAACACCAGTTCGATCAGTTTTTAATTAATCTCAATAATTGTGTTAATAAGGAATTGATTGATTCTGCCGCAATTGAGTTTCTGCTCAACTTCAATACCAAAAATAATCGGAAAAAGTTAACGAAGTCAATAAACACAGTGCAAAGGTGAGAAACGACTATTTTTGCTCATCCTTAATTATTTGAAAATAATATTGAAAATGTTTCAGAACTCGTCTGGATTTGTTACCGTTTCTTTCGCGTTTTGTGGCAATCGTGAATCTCTGCAACACCGACGTCGCTATAGAGTTGTCGGAGTTGTTACGCAAAGAATTTAAATGGCACATACGCAAGAAAAATCAGTTGAATATTGAGTCGAAGATCAAAATTGTACGTTTCATTGGTGAAATGGTTAAGTTTGGCTTATGCAAGAAATTTGATGCTTTGGGTTGCTTGAAGATGTTGTTGCGCGACTTTCAACATCATCAAATCGAAATGGCATGTGCATTTGTGGAAGTAGCCGGTGTTTACCTTTACAATTGTCGTGACTCACGCTTACTTACGAATGTCTTCCTCGACCAAATGATGCGTCTGAAAACCGCAACTGCCTTAGACTCCCGCTATGCAGCACAAATCGATAATGTTTATTATTTAGTGAAGAGACCGAAAGACCTGAATGAAGTCAAAGTACAACGTCCCGTCATTCACTCCTACATACGGAATATTGTTTTTGAAGAGCTGTGTAAGCAGAATGTCGATCGTTGCATTAAAATGATGCGTCGCATTAATTGGGATGATCCCACTGTGAAGAGCTATGCCATTAAATGTTTATCAAAAGCATATTTGCTGCGTTTCCCACTTATACGTTCACTGGCAGATTTAGTTTCTGGATTGACCTCATATCAAGAGAATATTGTTGCCAATATCATTGATAATGTGTGTGATGACATACGCTTCGGTTTGGAGAAACACTCGCCAAGATTGGCACAAAGACGTATTGCCATGGTCAAATATTTGGGGGAGCTCTATAATTATAAATTGATAGATTCGATAACTATTATAAATATGCTGTATTCAATTATATCACTTGGAGTTGTTTACGAGGACGGCGTTGTTTCAGAGCTAGATCCACCTGATAGCCTGTTTCGTTTGAAATTAGTAATAACACTACTGGATACTTCAGGCCAATATTTTACGAGTACTCTCAGTCACAAAAAGTACGTATAAACTAAAATACATTTTTTTATTATTAATTTTATTTAAAATATTTAAATTAATATTGCAAAAAATAATTATACCCAAAATTTGAACGTAACCGATTTTGAACCAAAATCGATTTTGAACCACCATTTGAGTGTAATTGAATCTAATTACTAACAGAATTTCTGGCTTTGAGAGTTCTAAATAATTAACGAAAACTATAAAAACTGGTATGGAACCGAATCAATGGTGTCACAGCACTTAAAAAATGTATGCAATCCACGCAAGTCCTGCGTGAAATCTTTATCACAAATCCTGATAGATTAAATTAACTGCCATTCCGCATCACACATCCAAAAGGTTTGGGGTAGGGTAGATGGTAGAATAAAATATTACTCTTCGTAACGCGGTATAGAAGTGAAGGGAGATTAAAACTAATCTATATTGAGTCTAGATGACTACCTCGTTTAAATATATAAATATATATATATATATATCGGTATATATAAATAGGTGATGCGTATATATATATTAAATCCTTTAACTCCTAGGAGGAGCATAGAGCCGCACATAGAGTCGGTAAAATAGAGATAGTTGAAATCTATTTAGACTTTTGTGTTGAGTAAGAGAAGTAAATATATGGATGACATGATGAAACGTACAACTGTGATTTCAGCAAACGTCAAAAATTTACGGATTAAATCATAAAAAATAAACACCTAATTCGTGGCTATACCATGAATCAACATAGTTCTTGCTGTGCTATGTAGTCATATTTGTTCCTAAGAGATCTTACGAGAACTGATTTGTAAAGTATAGTTTCGAAGAAAATGTTTCATTTATGAGTTGTAGTAGTCGGACGGTAACCATCGTTATGCAAAAGTTGTTAGCAAAAAAGTATGGATGTAAGGGGATGTGAGACTATATTTATTGATTATTGTTTTAAATGTTCATCTTTGTGGTCCACAGAGACAAATCATCTAAATGGCAGTTTGGTTTTCTTTACAAAGTTTTTTTTACACTTGAATATGACTAGATATAAGTTCAGTACGTCTTGCGAAGTTAGGGGCGAATGATAGTAGTACCTAGGGTGTTTTCGATCGCCCAATATTTTGTCCATGCTCAGTTAAGTTATATACCGTATAAGAGGGTTACAAGAAAGGTAGGGTCTACCTACGGCGTTTTAGTTCCTATATACCCTATAAGAGGGTAACAACAAAGGTCGAGTCTACGTCTAAAAGCCACTCGTCAATTTAGACGACCAAGTGCCGTTCACCACTTTCAGCAGAAACTATAACAGCAGCTATCCACGGGTTATATAGTCGGAAGTGGTTGTCTCTTAAAACCAATATCTTTAAAAGCTCTTTGAATTAAAGATAAAATAAAACTATTAAATACTAACAAAATGAAATTATTATTGATTGTGTTATAATTCGTTCCAATCTAATATATTATATATATATTATAATTTTATTGCAATATATAATTCTACAATTATTATTATTTTGAAGTATTTGTTTTTTTGACGGGCTTAGGTCTTTTTTTTTTGTTCTATATTACTTTAAATAAGATAAAAAAATATCTTAAAAACACTAATGTTACTTACAAATTTTTTATATTATTTAAAGCAATGACCTAGAAGTCCGGCAAAAATTAACATTTATAAATCATTAAAGTCTATATCAATATACTTATATGAACAAAAACAATATTTTGTGTTTAGAATGGACTATTTTCTTGTATTTTTCCAACGTTATTATTGGCATAAAAAGTCTCATCCCATATTTAGTAAGAACGAGAATACATTTGATCTTTTCCCAATATTGGTGGATCACATGTACAAGGAGTGTTTTACATTTTTGCGTCCCAAAATGAAAGTACGTAAAACCAAAGAAACTTAAATACAATATAATACAATGGTTTTATTTATTTATTTCTAGCTTTATAAGAATTTGGAAGAGGCAGTGACAGCTGTAGAGGATCTTAAATTAAAATTGTATCCAAATTTAGGTAAAACAGCAAGCGAATCAAATGATAAAGGCCTTGAGTCAATTTCTGAAGACAATGAGTATGATGATGGCGTACGTAAACAAACCTACCCGCAAATATATAGAAAATTAATTTAAAATATTTCCTCTCTACAGGCAAGTGAGAATTCGAACTCATTAGATAGCCGTCGCAATAGCGTACAAGAAGGTGATGAGATGATGAACGCAGATATGGGTAACACAGGCGATTTTGGTAATAACACAGACTGGACTGAAAACGAGTATGTGCTCGAAGACTATGAGGAAAAAATGCCAGAAAAGTCCAAAGAAGATTTAGAGTTTGAACAGATGTTTGAGAAAATGGCTGCCGACTCCTATCAGGAACGTCTAAAGGAAACGGTTAAGCCGAATACAAAAGATATACCAGTACCAATGGTGACGAGAAAAAGTAAGAAGTCATATGAACAAATAACATCGCAACAAGGAAACAACGACGACACATCCAAGAATTCGAGTGAGGGCACACAATTCGTCCTAATGATGCGCGGCGGTAAAGGAAAACAGCAGTTTAAACAGTTCATAGCCCCGAATGACTCGCATTTAGCTATTAACTTGAAAAAACAAGAAGAAAAAATTCGCGAGGAACATGAAAAAGTTAAGCGTTTAACACTGAACATCTCCGAGCGTATCGAGGAAGAGGATTACCAAGAATCATTACTGCAATCACAACGAAATATGGCCCAAAACTCATATCAGCGACCCAATAAACAAAAGTTTAAACATCAAAGAGGTGCACCAGATGCAGATTTAATTTTTAATTGAAAAATTTGGTTTAATTGAGTTGTTATTTTAGATTACTTTTATGTGTCTCAGTAAGAGGATTTTGAAATCAAGTTCCACACTGGGCGGTTACTACAGTTAGTGCATGTACAGTGGGTAGCACACAATAGAAGTTCTGATAATGGAATTTACTTAATGCAAATGGTCAGCTTACCGATAAAAGCTAATGAACAGTCTTTCAAAGAATCTTCTAATGAAAACACAGAGGAATTACTTTCATAGGTTCGAATGAATCTAAAACATTCGTAACAGGCACAGGCAGAAAATTGAGTTTCTCTCGCAGGGCAAGATACATTAATATTTAATTAAACCAATTTCCACATCTGATTAAACGAATCAAAATTATAAATGCAAAAATTTCATAAACTCATCCGATAATCATTTCGAAGGTTTTTTTGAATCCATCGGTTCAATTCAACTATTTAAGGAATGTATTTAAAATCGCTTCTCATTTCTCTAATTTGTTCTATTATTTATTTTAATTAAATACCTCTCTCTATGTATTTAATGAATTATATAAAAATAAGACAATACCATTTTTTCTTTTTTTCGACATGATGCAATCCAGTGCCATTCTTAACTTCTTAAAATTAATTAAAATAATTAATTAAATAATTTATTTATTAAATTAATTGAATAATTTATTTCTTAAATTAATTAAAAAATTTTTTTATTAAATTAATTCAATAATTTACTTATTAAATTAATTGAATAATTTATTTATTAAATTAATTGAATAATTTATTTATTAAATTAATTGAATAATTTATTTATTAAATTAATTGAATAATTTATTTCTTAAATTAATTAAAAAAATTATTTATTAAATTAATTCAATAATTTACTTATTAAATTAATTAAATAATTTATTCATTAAATTAATTGAATAATTTATTTATTAAATTAATTAAATAATTAATAATAAATTAATTGATAATTTATTTATTTAATTTAATAAATAGTTAATTTAATTGAATAAATAATATGTTTAATCAATTAAATAATTAATTTATTAAGTTAATTTATTAAATTAATTGAGTAATTTATTTATGAAACTAATTGAATAATTTATTTATTAAATTAATTGAAAAAATTATTTATTAAAATAAATAATTTATTGAATTATTTATTTATTAAATTAATCAAATAATTTTTTTATTAAATAAATTGAATAATAAATTAATTAATGCAATAATTAATAGTAAATTAATTGATACCTAATTTATTTATTTAATTGAATAAATAATTTATTTATTTAATTGAATAAATAATTTATTTAATTAATTTATCCAATCAATTAAATAATTATTTCATTGGGTTAATTTGTTAAATAATTATTTAATTAAATTATTTAATAATTAATTAATAAAAAATTGATTAATTAAATCAATTGAAAAATTTATTGAATTGATTGAATAATTAATTTTTAAATAATTTTTAATAATTTTGTAAATTTTTTGAATAGTTACAAAGTTAATTAAAAAGTAACTAAAAACTAAGTTATTAAATTAATTGAATAATTAATTTAATAAATTAATTGAATAATTAATTCATTAAATTAATTAAATGAATGATTTTTCAATCTTGATGTAGTGTTCTATTTTACCGACCTGAAGTTTCTATATATGCTGTTTAGTGTTTATAACATATTCTATCTTTTTTTTTTAGGAAGCACCATTGGAAATTCTGTTTTAAATTCAGCGGTTATTGTAATTTGAATAGGAATAGGAAGAATTTCAAGTTTCTTGTGTGCACCCACTGATTAATTTTCATTCGGAGGTAGAAGAATTTTCTATTTCATTTAAATGAGTAATATAAAATATAAATTCATATAAAAAATTTTGTTTTTCAAAAATTCTTACTTTTCAAAATCTAATTTTGTTTTTTTCTAATTTTAATATTAGGACTATAAAAACATTACTGTGGAATAAAATTTATATCTAAAAAAAAAACAATGTACTCTAAAATATATTTGGTTTTACTTAAAAAATTATTTTTATTTATTATAAACAAAAAATAAAATTATGCACATTTTTAAACATTAAATCAAAATATTATTTTTTAATCAGTACAAATTACAAAATATATATTTATAATTAATATTTTAATAAAAGTGTATATAAAAACGCATTACATTAAAAAAAAAATACCCATAAAATACAAGCTTAATAGTTAGTTGCTAAGCAGTAAATTTTTTTATCAATTTTAAAATTAATACAGAAATAAATTATTAAACAAATTAAAAATAATAGAATCAAATTTATTTTTTATTTAAAACTGATAATATATGCAAGGTTTTTTGTTTAAAAATAATTACAATACAATTGTGTTATTTAAAAAAATATATATTAAACATTTAATTGTTTTTCTTAAATAATGCCAACTTAATTGTCAATTGCAAAATTAATTGTTTAAAATATATATTGTAATATAAAGCATCACATAGAAACGTTAATTTTGATTATAAATAAAAATTTTTAATTTTTGGACACTTATTGCAAATTTGTTACGTTTTTTAAATATTTTTATTTATGTTAAAATATTTCATAATTTGGCTGCTATTCACAAATCGTCATTGTTATAATAAATACATTTAGTTATTTTAATATTAACTTACAAACTAATTTTATAAAAATTAAAAATACACACTCAGTTCGTGTATAAAAAATAAAAAGCTTTACAAAAATACTTAAAGTTTAAGGCAAACTCTTTTCGTATTACTTTTTAGGCACATTTACAGTACATTTCTCATATTTTGTGCTTATATTAATAATTAAATATATTAGAAAATAACATATATATTTATATATATAAAGAAAGTGAAAAAGTTTTGGTAGAAATTAGAGGGACGTTTGTAAATAAGTAACATGCTTTTTTTGTAAGTAACATGCTTTTTTACAAAAGTTTAATTTAATAAAAAAAACCGAGTTGACATTGTTAACGTTTTAACTTTAAATCGAGAGTTAAAATTATATATATATGTACTTTCATTTATATATGGAAGTGTAAAAAAGGCACAATTTGTTTCCCAAGTCGAGATTTGCTTCTATTTTTATGGCAGTATTTTTTCTCTACGTTCCATTTTAAAATATTTTTATATTAAACACGTTAACAATATGTCATAGCGTTGCAGAAAATCAATAAATTTTGCTCTTTTCTATGTTTTTGAGAAGACTTAGTTGTACATAAATACAAAGTTTTGAATAGTTCAGTTGATTTTATGGCAAAATATAAAAATTCGTTCATTGTTGTATTTCGTTTATTTACCCGCATACATTGGGTTTTTGAAGGTAGACGTAGCTTGCTTGTAGATTGGATTTTCCCCCTTTAAAAAAAGAAAATGAAAATATTATTATTGTTATTAATTAAATGTATATATTCAAATTTGCAGACGGAGGCACAAATTATCATTAAATACTTAACATTTTCATTTGTTTGTTAGAAAAAGTGTATTAAATTTTCACTAGTGTCCTTCAAGGGATCAAATTTAACCACAATTTATTAATAATTTAAACGTTTTTAATGATAGTTTATGCTTCGGTATATCAATGCTTTTATGCAACTTACAGTATCCCATTTGGCATTCATACGTTCCTTTTCGAAGCGTGCAAATTCTCGTCTGTCATGTATCGTCGTCAACAATTTCCACAATAACAATATAGCCAAGCCAACTAAAACAATGGCGGCTATAACACCTAATACTATGCCTAACATAAATACTTTTGGTGGACATTCACGTTCTTGTTGCGCATAAATTTTAATTTCATTATTAATTTCAGTGTATTTGAATGAAAATTTGCAATCGTCTTCATCGAAGAACCAACATTGGTATTCTTTTTCTGGATCATCTATGATGACCTTCTCAACTCCAATAGGATTTATGTTAATGCAATTATCTGCACAATCCTTTGGATCTTTCAAAGGACCAGTTTTATACATTTGACATTGGACACAGTCTTTAAGCTCTTGACAACGTCTAGAACATGTGGGACATTTTTCACAGTAATCGCCAGAATAACGACCTTCCTCAGTAGTTTTGCATCTGAAATGAAATGAAAAAAGTAATAATATAGTACATATACGAAATAAAGTGAGTGTTGTTATTCATGTGTAAATAAACAAATTTCCAGTTACTGATTAACTTACTTGCATACACCACATTCACATTCACCGTGTCCGGAACAAATTTCACCGCCATTTGGTGGTATGCATGTGTGATTGGAAGCTTGACAATCGCAAGCTGCACCAGTCCAACCAGGTTTACATTCACAAACATTACATGCGCATATACCATGATCGGGACCAGAGCATAACTGTTGCTTATGACGTTCACACGAGAAGTTATCACACTCACAGAAGTCGCCTGTTATTTTTTCTTCGGG